TCTTCATAAAGGATGCTGGTAGATTTTTTTAAACTTTAGACTGAACCAGGTTGTCTCACACTGTCTCACTGTCTTTGTGCAGAGCTAGGCTAACTACGTCATCAATCAGTCTTTGTATTTAAAAACAGGCACAAGGTTTGTACATCTTACCACTCTTAGAAAAACTTAAATAAACCTATTGTTGAAACAACATTGATTTTGATTTAATATCACTGAAAAATGCTGTTCACATGTTTGTAGGAGGCTCAAGTACAAAATCAAAGAAACATCCGACGGATCACAAAGCTTATTTATCTTGATCTGAGGCCCTGTTAAACTTATGACTGAGCAATACCACACTTCACTCCAGTTATCATCCCTGTGAGTGATGGATGGACATGGAGATCTTGTGTGTCATTTAAGGTTAGTTCAGATTAGTTCAAAGTCATCAAGGTTAGTTTAAAAAAGGTTATAAAATGTATATCTATATTGTTTCCAACGCCCCACTTAATATGAAGGTAGAGAGATGTTAATGTACCAGTTTTAAAAGATAATGCTTGTGGTATTCTATATCTTTGTTCTCGTCACCAAACATTTGTTAAAATCCCAGCGCTGAGTCTGTAACCAAAACCTTTTGTCATTTTGCTCTGAGCCAAAGCTCAATTTCTATCCAAAAGCTAACAGACATCCCACTGTTTCCCAGGATGACTTGTCTGCTCTGATGGTGAAACATATATTTTTAACTCAGTTATAATTTACTATTTTTATCCCCACTACTTGGTGTTTATGCTTCTATTTCTGTTACCTTCATTGTACTATCACCACCACAATTGGTAGCTTCTAATAGCTATTCAATTTTCCGTTACCACGTTGAAGAAGCCTCTCTGAAACTGATCCGGGCTGATCCATTTAATCTGCTGTGAACTCCTGTTTGGAGACCAAACAAGTATGCTTTAACCCTGTCATACTGATGTACTGACTGCTATCAAGGATCCTACATAACTCTGTGTCTGTCCTCTTCGTCTTTTGCAAAGGATTTTTTGCAGGCAGTATTTTGCCTTGTTTTACAGTTCTACATAACACCCAAACCACATGGGGTAGTTGAGCTGAAGAGTGTACCGTGATGATTTAAGCGGCTCATTAAGGATCTCCTCCAGGTGCAAGAAGAGCTCTGCTCGTCTTTCCTGAGACTAGAAGCCAGTTGTAACTCTGGCTGTTGTCCCAGGCTGAGGTTAAGTGTGTAGAATTTAGTGACATCTAGTGGTGAAGTTGCATGTTCTGGCTGAATACCCCTCACCTCACCCTACCCTTCCAAACATAAAAAAGACCTATGGTCTTCCATTGTCTTAAAAATTCAAAAAAGTGTTTAGTTTGTCCAGCTTGGACTACTGTAAAAAACATGGCAGCCTCCATAGAGAGGACCCGGTCCTGATGTAAA